GACGATGAATGTTTTTTTTTTTTTTTTTTAATTTAGTTAATTCAAAGAATAGAAAATGATCGAAAACTTAAAATTTCATCGATCCTATAGTACTTTCTTTTTTTATCCTTCGTCGATCTATGAATCTAATATATCTATAAATTTTATAAATAATTTATTTATTTATATATGTGTATATATATTCTCTAAACAGTACGATTATTTATATATCGTGACAATAGATTTATTTACATTCATTTATTTATTTATATATATTAATTAATTAATTTATTTACTTACACTGTTTTCTTTTTAATTTCATCTACTTCTTATCGTTAATAATTTTACATTTACAACAACAATAAAAACAATAATAATAATAAATAATAAAAATATACTTCCTTTTTTTCTTCGCAATAAAGAGAGAAAAAAAAAAAAAGAAAAAGAAAATTATATTACAAAAAATCGTCCTTCAATGATATTCGAAAACAACGACAAAAGAAAAATAATTTAAATTCGAAAAGAACAACGAAAGAAAAATAATTTAACATTTAATTGAGATTTATTTAAACAATAAATATTTCCAATAGATATTATTATATCTTTCTTACGTTTTTTCTCTCCTCTATTCTGTACAAAAGAATATAATTTTATAAAAATTAATTCTTAAACGTTTATCATGAAACGAAAAATAATTTGATTTTATCTCGTTAAAAGATAAAATTTGATAAAATTTCCATGGCATATAACACGTATCTATCTATAAACTCGTGTAATAATGTCTTACTTACATACATAGACAAATTCTAAAACCGGTAAGAGATGAGAAAGCGAAAGCGTTAAAAGTTAACACGTGATGATGCATTTCTAACTATCATAAATACGATTCGTCATCCTTGGCTCGGTAAGACGGGTATGAGCCACTTGGCGAGCTACCGCCAAAATCATCGTACGTCGTCATCGTCCCGAATTCACGTCACGCACGTCGTCGTAACAACAACATGCAAAATTGGAACGATTCGTTCGATACGAAACTCGATGGTTCGTCATTTCGTCGACTGATTCACATCAACGGGAATAGAATTTCACTGTTGCAAGCTCGATAGGAATGTAATTCTTTTTTCTTTCTTTTTTTTTTTTCTTTGTTACCCACCAATCTACCCCTCATCCCATTCCTAAAAGCTTGCCGACCGCCCTACTATCCCATCGCCCTCTCCCCTCCTCCCTCCCCCCCCCATTTCTTTTAACCCACTCTATCCGCCGATCTCTATCATTTCCTTTTCTCTACTTCTATGTCTATGTGCTCGACATGAAACTCGAAATAAGTTTTCTACTATTACGAGAGACATTTATTTCTAAAGTTTACGATTTATCGTTTGTTTGAAAGTTTAATATCAATCGTTTATGGTTTAGAAATTTGTTTGTTCTGTTCTTGGAATATCATTTCTACGAGAATATTATTTGTCCTTTTACGTTTGTATTAAAATACAAATAATATAAAAATATTATATAAAATAAAAAAAAAAAAATATATATATATATATGTATATACTATATAATAAATAAAATAATATAAAAATATTATATTTGTAAATACGACTTTTATATAAAAATATTATTAATAGTTTAATATGAGATTTATGAGATTTTTATATAGAAATATATTTTATTGATATATTCGATTGATTAGCGTTATGTTGTTTCTTCTTTTTTCCTTTTTTTCTTTCTATTTTTAATATTAGATAGACAACGAGCCGATCCAAATTATTTATATACACGGAAATAATTCAATTGAAAACAAAAAGTAAAGAAATATAAAGGCAGTAATAAAAATAATTAATTATTTTAAATTTAATTAAAATGGAAGGTAGGAATGTATCAATCGTTTAATGTTTCTTTTTTTTTTTCTTATCTAATCTTATTATAATTAACCTAAAAATGTCATAGGTTAGATTTGATTAAAAATCGAATTGATACAAAAATCTTGTTATAATTAATAAATAAATATCTTACGTTAAAATTTATTTTAAAAATTTCTATCATTGGATTACTTTTTTTAATCTTCAATTGACAATTTCATTAATTTTAAATGGTATTAAAAAATAAAAAAAAACCCTGATTGAAAATTTTTACTATTAGATCCTTTTTAAAAAAAATTAATTGAAAATCTTTATTATTAGATATTAGATTTTTATAAAGAAAAAAAAAAAAATGATGAAAAAATATTATTAATAGATTCCATCAAAATCGATTTAAAATAATTATCATCGGATCTTATCACAATGAAATTATCTTTGATTCTAATTTACAAAAATTATCTATATTATATTATATTCTATATATCTATATTATATTATTATATAGTTTAAGTTACTATCATTTAGAAGAATAATATATATTATTACGGCATAAATATTTCGCAAATATATTTCATAAATATATTTTTACATGGCAACATATATTTATTACGTCGCTTTATACATTTCATATATATTTTCTATTATACATCTACATGCTTATATATATATATATATATATATATATCATAATTGAAAAAAAAAGAAAAAGAAAAAAAGAAAAAAAGAAAAAAGAAAGAGAAAAAGAAACGAACGCGAACACATTCAACAGGTCGTTGAGCTTATATATATATGAACTCTATAAACTTCCCATGAACTCCTCCTAGAATTAGTTTCTTTCGATGGTAAGAACGATTTATCAGTGTCGTCGTTAGTACGACGAAAGTGTATCGTTCTTTTAATCAAACCTCTCCGTTGAATTCATTTAAAAAAAAAATGCAAACCTTTTCGGGAAAGGATTGGGGATGAGACGTTGGAGGATGAGCGATAATAAAAGAAGGAGTGAAGTTAAAGTAGGGCGGTGGGACATTGGGATAACTTAGAAAAGAAAATTTAAAGAGAATTTATCCGAGATAGTTCCTTAAATTATTTAAAAAGATAGTTCTCGCCGACAATCCATGGAGGAAGTTCGAATGCTCGTCGAGATGTTATCGAACGACCGGTAGCTAACTATCGCTTGCTCGAGTACATTTACATGCGATCAGGACTCCCTATCGTTGGATCGTGAACATCGAACGATGAACTCTGACGAAGCTTAATGGTTCGTGATAATTTATGAGAGAGAGAGAGAGAGAGAAAGAGAGAGACATCTTTTTTGCCCATCGTATATTATATTCTCCAACACAAGGGTTTCCGGTATTTCGAGCAATACGATTGACATAACTTCCATAAAAGAAAAAAAAAAAAGAAAGAAAAGAAAAAGAAAGGAGAGAATAAAATAAATAAATGTCTTTACATGAAATCACATTGAATTATATATGTACATATATAAGTATTGTATGATAGAGATTGATCTGCTGGCTCAAAATCATCATTTTTTTATTTTTATTTTTAATAATCTATCTTTTGAAATGTTCTTAGACATAGATGCATGCGTGTATGTGTATGTGTCTATCTGTACGGATAAGAAAAAAAAATGTTTATATGAGCTACCTCATTGGATTATATATGTATATATATATATATATATATATATATATATATATATATATATACATATATATAAGCATTGTTCGATTGAAGATTTATCTGAGCTCAATAACATCATTTTCATTTGTAATGTATTTTTTTTTTTTTTTTTTTTTTTTTTTTTTAATGTACATATGTACGCATTCACATTCACGAAGTGTCAGACTGTATATGATTCTTATTGCTAACGATCGTTGTTATATAAATATGCGATAAAAAAAAAAATGAAAAGAAAGTATATTGACCTTCATAACTCGAATAGGTCACGAGTAAAATAAAGAAAAAAAGACTTGTATTCATTTAGAAGTTGACTTGGTGTAGGGTGCAAATCTTTTCTTAATAAATTTTCTTGTAATTTCAATCAATTATGAAATTAATGTATTTGTTTCGATATCTATAAATGAACACCCTGTATATATATATATATATATATATATATATTTTTTTTTTTTTTTTAATATGAAACATTTATATAAAAGAATGTTGACTCTAATAATCAATTTTTTATAATACACGTTATACACACACACACACACACACATACACATATATATATATATTATATATATGAGAATATAGTTAAGTCTACATACCATAGATTATCCCATAAAAATAATGAAAATAATTCTGATAAAATTATCTTACCTTCGAATGACTTCCTCGATAAAGGTATTCCAAAAAGAAGACTTAGGTCTTCGTTCGTGAATGATTTCTTAACGACCATACATGCGAAGGGTTCATAAAAGCTAATCGTTAAAGGACGTTAATTACACGAGATTACTTGAAGGTTTTCCCTTATATCATCGTGATGTCACTCTTGGAATATCACTTTGAACGCTCGTTAACACTTTAACACATGATTACTTTTTTTATATAAATTTACACGACAAAAATAATATACTAAATATTAAATAAATACTAAAAATATAAATAATGTTAACACAAAAAAAAA